ACACACCAGACAGGGTACTTCCCCCACACACCAGACAGGGTACCTCCCCCACACACCAGACAGGGTACCTCCCCCACACACCAGACAGGGTACCTCACCCACACACCAGACAGGGTACTTCCCCACACCAGTCAGGGCACTTCCCCACACACCAGACAGGGTACTTCCCCACACCACCCAGGGTACTTCCCCACACACCAGCCAGGGTACTTCCCCACACACCAGCTAGGGTACTTCCCCACACACACCTGACAGCCCTATGCCTGTTGTGGAATCTATTGTAGCTTAGGGGAAGTCCATGGGGTTGGATGTGAGTGGCCAGGATGTGGAAGAGTTGGTGGAGGATCACAGTGAAGAGCTAAAAGACCTTCATCTGGAACAACAACAGACCACAGCTGAGGAAATTGCTTCAGAGGATCAGGAAGAAGGGAGGGAAGAAGGTGCCTTCAGTGATTAAGGACATTTATGCAAAGTGGAATGAGTTGCAAAGTTTTGTGGAGAAATGTCACCCAAACAAACCTGTTGCAGGCTGAGTCTGCAACATGTTCAGTGACAACGCCTTGTCCCAGTTTAAGGAAATCTTAAAGAGACGCCAAAAACAGAGCTCTCTGGAAATTTTTTTTGTGCGACAGGGGTCCAGTGACTCTCAAGCTGGTCCTAGTGCCAGTAAAAAACAAAGAAGAGAAGTAACTCCTGATAAGGACTTGAGATGTGAAGTCTTTATGGAAGAGGATTCCCCTTCCAAACAATAATCAGTCCTCCCTCTCTCCTCCTCCTCATCTTCCATACCCCAACAAGAGTCTTCAGTAAAGGTAATTGTGATGTTATTATTGCTTATATTGATTTGTCATTCTTTTTCTGTATTTAATCTCTAAAAAAATAAAAATTTTTGTTAATACAGTGGTATCTCGGGATACAAACTTAATTCATTCCAGAAGGCTGTTAGAGTTCCGATACCGAATGAATTTGTTCCCATAAGGAATAATGTAAATTAGATTAATCCATTTCAGACCCCCAAAAATATACCTACAAAAGCACTTACATAATTGTTCGAGTTTTGAGCTGTTCGTATCCTGAGGTACCACTGCACCTTGGGTGTCTGGAACGGATTAATTGGATTTACATTATTTCTTATGGGAAAAATGGTTTTGGTTTTTGTGAATTTTGGTTTTCAGCAGACTCTCTGGAAGAGATTAATCACAAAACCAAGGGTCCACTGTATTTGCAACAAAATCCTATGATATTACAATTGCTTCAAGGTGTAATATTCATTGAAAGAAAGAAATAAGTACTATCTTCCCTCGTTTATTGTCGTTAATCCGTTCCTGGAAGTGCGACGATTATCGAAATAGACGATTTTCGAATCAATTTTCCCCATAAGAAATAATGTAAATGTGATTAATCCATTCCTGACACCCAGAAGTATTAAAACAAAAAATTTTTTACATGAAATATAGATGTAGCACATAAACAATACAATGGGACAGGATGAATTAAACATTAACAGCATAACACTTACCTTTATTGGCAATTCTTCTTAGTGTATGGAAGACTGGAGGAGGAGAGAGATTGGATTAGTTACTATTTGGAAGGGCAATCCCCTTCCATCAACACCTCAGGTACCAAGTCCTTTTTTGGGGTTACATACTTCTCTTCTCTGTTTCTTAATGCCACTAGGACCAGCTTGAGAGTCACTGGAGTCCTGTCTCACAAAAAAAGTGTCCAGAGAGAGCTCTGTTTCTGGCATCTCTTTAAAACTTCCCTAAAATAGGCCAAGACTCTGTCACTGTACAAGTTGCCGATATGGCTTGCAACATCCTTCTCAGGGTGATGTTTCTCCATAAATCTTTCCGTCCTACCCCACATTTCAAAAATCTCCCTAATTTCTGAAGAAGGCACCTTCTTCCATCTCTCTTCCTCCTCCTTTGCAGCAAGATTCTGAGCTGCGATCTGTTGCTGTTCCTGCTGAAGCTCTTGCAACTCCTCAGTGGTTAGCCCTTCATTGTGGTCCTCCACCAACTCTTCCACATTCTCCAAACTCACATCCAACTCCATGGAACTCCCCAATGCCACAGTAGATTTCACAACTGACATAGGCTCATCAGGGTCGGCCACAAACCCTTCAAAATCCCTCTTGTGGACACAATCTGGCCACAATTTTCTCCAAGCAACAACAACTTCCTTGATTTCCTTTTTCTTTGCCATGATGGAAAATATGGTTGTATGGGGTTTGTTATACATCCTGGCCAGTTCGGCCACATGTACGCCACTTTCATATTGTTCAGTGATGTTTTTCTTAAATTCAGTCGTATTTCTCACCTTTTTTACCATAGGCTTGGCACTAGGAGCTTTCTTTGGAGCCATGGTAGCTTATTTAGCACTTGCAAGCACTAAAATGAATGGAATATTATGAAATATTTCGTATGAACAAGTGAGGGGACCTTTGCTCACTGGTAAACAGTGGCATACTGGCTGGGAAGGGAGGCTGAGGCAGCAGAGCCATGAGTATGCATCCAAGTCGAATGACGATTAGCAAGTCAACCGACCATTTGCGAGCCAGTGTTTGGACGAAAATAAGCGCGACGATTTCTGAAAAGGACGACTATCGAGCCTGACAATTATAGAGGGACTACTCTAGTAGGGTTTGAATTTATTGAATTATCCTGAGTTAAAACTACTTAGTGTGCATTGGCTGACTTCCACTGTTAGTATCATGAAACTATAATAAATTTGGAATGAATGTCATCTTCATGCCTCTTCCACACCCTGTTTGTTGGGGATGGAACAGCAGTTCCCAATTTCATTGTTTACTTATGCTTGTTAGGCATTCTAGTACATTGGACACAATTATCAGTTGAGTACACTAGTATGTTGGACACATTTTAAGTATGCTGGTTTTCCACTCTGAAACCATCACCATAAAATAGGTAGTCTCTTGCACCCTGGGGCTTCCTTCATCCAGATGTTCTCAAGAGGGCTCAAGCCTGGGGAATTTCCTTGTCAGTCATCAAAGAAGGGAACCTCATAGTTACGAAGCCACTGAACAATAGATTTCATGGTATGGCAGGGACCACTTTCTTGCATAAAAATCATTACAGTACACTATGTGAAGATTTGGCAAATGATCACAGAGCAATTTTAGGTATGTTATTACATTAGTGGGGATGTATCTTTAGGCTTCCCAGGATGTGCTTTTGGTGTGTGCATTTTATCAACACTGTTCTCAAGGAACAAGATATTTACCAAATGCTCACAAGCATCCATGGCTTCTACTATTTCCTTTGTTTGATGGTCTGCCTTAAGTAATCCAGTGATCTGTGTAGTTGTCTTGTGTCAGTGACTTACTCCTTCTCACATTAATTAGTCAGTAGCCAAAAATATCTGACAGACTTGGCACTCAAGACCACATGGTGCAGGAGGGACCATGAACACAAATCTGTGCACCACACAAACCTAGAAGGTGCTTAGGATGCAGCCAGTAGCCTTAGGGAATCCTGAGATGGCCCACTATGAATTGCCATGACAGCATAACTTTTTGTCTCTGAAAAAACCTATTAGGGTAGGATATTATTTTGGACATTATAGTATGCCAGGTGTCTCCACTTGACATACTTTAATGATGAGCACTGTAATGCTTGAACATAGAAAAGGATTGAAAATGAGAGATCATTAAATTTTTCAAGCTTTATTTACAGTTTGTTTCTTCCTAAGCATTTTGTACTTTGAATTACTCTTAATTACAAATACATATTGCCAAATTTTAGGTAAAGTGTGAAATGCAAAAACTTTATTTGTTTTGACACACCAACCATTTCCCACTGAGGTAGGGTGACATGACAAAATGAAGAAACACTTTCAGCATCATTCATTCTTATCGCTGTTTGCCAGATGTATGCCAATACTACAGTTCAGATGCCCCTGCAAACTGTGTTTGCACTTCAGGAAGGTGTCCAACGCATGCTAAGGCATGGGAAAAGACATGTACTAATGTTTTCTTAGATGACTTTTTACCTTAATAGTAATTACATTTAACCCTTAAACTGTCCAAACGTAGATCTACGTTCACATGTGTATCGCTCCGAACGTAGATCTACATTTTATTTTACGTGCTTTCAAATGTAAAAAAAACATAGATCTACGTTTTGAGCTCTACACACATGAACGTAGATCTGTATTTGGACAGTTTAAGGGTTATTTGATGCTTTATCTGTGCAGTATAAACTAGAAGACCCACTGTTACCAACTGATCCCTTAATACTGAGTACTCAGCCACACTTTCATATGCATTTTATGTATCCAGTCTGCCTGTTGATGGTTTCAGGGGTCCTGGACAGGCCTCCTGTTTCTGCCTGACATTTTGTATTGTTAGCTCTCCTCTAAGTACACCATGTACTTTTTTGCGTTTACTAATTGAATTGTGATTTTTCACATGACTTCGAGATATCTACAATGTACCTCCTTTACTTTGGTTACTTCAAACACTACTGAGTTGGAATGTGTTTTCACATAATCTCTATTGATCACACTCTCTCATCATTTACTAATTACCTGCACTGAAGATTTGGTAATACTTGCTAGTTACAAGTTTGTGCTAGAATTCTTTGAATGCTTTTTTGTTTTAATGCAATCAGCCATTTCCCCTGAAGGTAGGGTGATCTGAAAAAGAAGAAACCCTTCCACTATCATTCATTCAATCACTGTCTTGCTAGAATTGTGCTCACATCACACCTCAGATAACCCTCAGAGTGGCAACATCTTCACCCCTCTTTCAGAGTGAAGGGACAATACTTCCTGCCTCCAGGACATGAGTCCAGCTAACCAGTTTTCCTGAATTTTTTCATAAATGTTACCTTATTCACACTCCAAAAGCATGTCAAATCATAAAAACCACTTGCCTCTGCTCACTCCTTTGTAACACACTCACACAAGCTTGTTGAATGTTTATACTGTGTCTTAGTGATAAGAAAACTGAGTGATATTTCATTATAATATATAATATTTCCTCATTCCAGGCACCTGGTAAATGGAATACGAGAAGGCACAATAGCTTGGAATGAGTATGTTAATAGCCAGCACTTTCATGAGGCCAGCAGGCTCCATCCACATATCTTCCTCAGCATTTGTTCCACTCTGGTTACAATGTCAGGCGCATGTAAACGAAAGATTTCTGAATTTGAAGACACGCTAACCACAAAAAAGAATTATTGCAAAAAACTCTTAAAGAAGATGGAAAAAATTGGCCCACTCCTTTGTGAATTTGGTGGAGAGAGGGATGAGGAAAATGCATTGTGGGATGCTTTGAGAGAATGTGGCAATATGGTAATGAAACTTATTGAAAATGCTGGTGCAAGAAAGAAAAATAAGGGAAATTCCTTGGATTTAAGTATAATGGTGAAATTGATTGGAAACTTTCCACTATCATTTCTTCATAAGGAGCTCCAGACTGCACTTTTGTTAGTACTGTTTGCCTTATTGGTCCAGGAAGATCTTGAGGGTACAGAAGAAAATGTATCATCACTTTTGCATATCATAAATCAGACTTTATGCTCACACTGCCAGTTTAGATTATTCAGAGTTACAGATGCAAGTTGCCTGTTAAAGTGGCTTATTAAAAAAAGATTTGATTTTCCATTATCCCTTGTTACCCAGCATATGGCAAATCTTACTCAGACATTGATGACAGAAAAGGCTAGTGTCTTACCAACTATCTTGCCAGATACTAAAATTAATTCCAAATTAACAGCTCAGGCATTGGTAGGCCAGAGCTTTGATCAGGTTTTGAATACTCTCATGTACAAGTTGACAGCTGCTGCAAGCAATGCACAACAGATAAAAGATATATCAGTATATATAACATCACCAGAGACTGCCAAAGATGCAGAGCTCTTCTTACAACCAGCAGTCTTTCTTATGGATGCTTGCCGGAAGGTAATGGATTCACTACTGTAATTCTGTTTTATTAAGTTCTTTCAAAGGGAGTTCTTTGAAGTTAAATAGCTCTTGATTCAAGGAATTGGAGCTACCCTTCCCTTTCTTGGATCAAATCTATTTACCTTCCATTCCCAGATACTGTTTGACTCGTATGGATTTAGTACTTTCCCATGAACATAATATTATAGTTACAGGACTAGCAATTCTTGTGTGTAATTCATCATGCATATATTTTTTATATTTTCCACTTGTTTTAGTAGTGAGGCAGTTAAGGATGGATTCGGTAAAAATTGTGCACTTTGGGTTAAAAGCATGAAACTTGGAACATAGCTGAAAGGGACCCTACTAATAAGTTTTAGATGTGGAGTTATGTCATAACAGCCTTTAGTATTCACTTATTTTCTTATTTTTTGCAATCCAATCTGTAATGCATAAAATCACCAAGGTGACACCACAAATGCCTGTCTAAGGCCTGTTTTTTTTGGGGAATACATCTTTTCTCTCCTACATACTCTGGCTTGGGCCTTGCTTTCCTCATAAACACTTTACAGCTTTTAACAAACTACTACCTTTTCAATAGATTTGCAACACTTACTGCATCACTGCCTTGTCATCGTGTCATATGCTGTTTCCAAGTCCATAAATACTTGCAGGCCCTGCTTTACAGTGCTTTGTTTTACAGTGTTTCGCTAGTGCAATGGTTTTCAGTTATACCCATTCTTCATGTATTCATACTTCCTGCATTATATATATTCACCACTTACTATAAGCTAAGGATGAGAATATTTTAAAGAATTTCACAGCAATTTTTGTTTTAGAGCAGTAGCCTGGAACCTAACCTGCTGTATAAGTGGGGCCTGCCTGTATACAATTTCTCAGTATTGCTCACAATAAATATATTCTCCACTTACTATAAGCTAGGGACAAAAATATTTTAAGGAAAGGAATGTATGTACTGTATATGCATTACTAGGCCTAGCTCTATTTCTCACTTAATATATGATAATGTAAACATGTTATCAGTTTTTCATATGCATTTGAAAGTAAAAAAAAAATGCTGCATTTCACTTTACAGCAATTTTTGCTTTAGAGCAGTAGCCTGGAACCTAACCTGCTGTATAAGTGGGGCCTGTCTGTATACAACTTCTCAGTATTGCTCACATATGTGAGCAATACTGAGAAGTTTAATCCAAATACTTGAACCACATCCCTTTACCATGTCTCCATCCTTATTTTTTCTCTAAAATCTTACTTTCTGTCTTTCTGTTTTTTGTTTTATATTAATTCTACCATAATGTAATGTTTAATTCTACCATGTACTTTACTCAGTATTCAGCAGACTTATTTCCCTACAATTCTTATACTTCTCATTTTTTACATTGTACAAAGGCATTATGCATATATAATATATAACTGAATTGAGATTAATGATTTTTTACAGAATATCCAGCATTGTAAAGAAACACTGCATTACTTATCCTCCTGGATTCTCAAGTATTTGAAAAAGATGGATCTCACCACCACTGCTCCTCCCACGGCTGCAGCTATTCTTGCTGCTCACAGCATCATTGTCCTAACTGAAATATCTCATTATGCCATAAAGAAAAAGTTGAATTCCCAAATTTTAGAAAATGATGTTATGAATGTTAGATCCATTACAGACATCAGTGAAGATCCCGAGAATGCACAAAAAAATTGTGATCTTGAAGAGCAAACAATAAAAACCCCTCTGTGGCAAAAGTTGTTAGGTCATAGCTGCCACTTAGCCAAACTCTGTTTATCTAGTGGTCACTGTGAGTTGCAGGAGTGTACTCTTCACTACCTTATTATTGTATTGCAACATTATAGTATTTTGCAATCTCGTCTTCCCCCTGATATTTTTATTACTACATGGACAGCCTTGTCTCGGACTGATCACATACCAAGGATCATCAGTGCGCTTCCTCATAGTAAATGCATTATAAAACCTCTTTTATCAGGTGTTTCTCCAGATGACTACGAGAAGTTACTTCATGACCTACTGAAAAGCACACAGTCAGACACTACTAATTTGGTTTGTATGCTCAAGCTTTGGCAAGTGATCATTTTCAGCAAAGTATTTGGAGTAAATGGAGCTGTGAAGCGAGTGGCTCTACAACACCTTATGCCCATCCTTGTAAATCTAGTGACAGTTCACAATGCATCTGATAAGTGTACAAACCCATACCTCATCCCATTACTGGAAACCCTGAGGGAACTAATCAGCTTTGCACTTAAATTTGAGGCACAAACCATAGCCCTTGTTCTCACACCCTGTACTACAGTACATCTTCAAACAATGCCACTTGACCAGTTCAGTCAAGTAAGTTCTTATAAATTAGTATTAACCCTTTAACTGTCAAAATGTAGATCTATGTTTTTGCTGCTAGTGCTCCAAATATTTTGATTTTTTTTTTAAACAAAGAGGACAATTTTCTGTGTGTAATAAGACCAAACTAGGTAGTAGGTTGGTAGACAGCAACCACCCAGGGAGGTACTACTGTCCTGCCAAGTGAGTGTAAAATGAAAGCCTGTAATTGTTTTACATGATGGTAGGATTGCTGGTGTCCTTTTTTCTGTCTCATGAACATGTAAGATTTCAGGTATGTCTTGCTACTTCTACTTACACTTAGGTCACACTACACATACATGTACAAGCACATATATACACACCCCTCTGGGTTTTCTTCTATTTTCTTTCTAGTTCTTATTCTTGTTTATTTCCTCTTATCTCCATGGGGAAGTGGAAAAGAATTCTTCCTCCGTAAGCCATGTGTGTTGTAAGAGGCAACTAAAATGCCGGGAGCAAGGGGATAGTAATCTCTTCTCCTGTGTATATTACTAAATGTAAAAGGAGAAACTTTCGTTTTTCCTTTTGAGCCACCCCGCCTCGGTGGGATACGGCCGGTGTGTTGAAAGAAGAAAGAATAAGACCCAAAAAAAATTTCAGCACCAGTACTTATTGAGATATAAGGCAGTGAAGTTGGCACTGAATGCTCACCTGACGGAAACATGGAGTCCTGCCGCTTGCAAAAATGTTGCCAATATAACTTTTTTTTTTAATTTACATAGTTTTTTTTTAACATTACTAAAGTTAAAAAGAGAAACTTTTGTTTTTCTTTTTGGGCCACCCTGCTTCAGTGGGATACAGCCGGTTTGTTGAAAGAAAAAGAAGAAAGAAGTTTTTTTTTTTAACGTGTCGGCCGCTTCCCACCGAGGCAGGGTGACCCAAAAAGAAAGAAAAACCCAAAAAGAAAGAAAAAACTTTCATCATCATTCAACACTTTCACCATCATTCATACATAATCACTGTCTTTGCAGGGGCGTTTAAATAAGACAGGTTAGACGTCCCTCCAAACTGCCAATATCCTAAACCCCTTCTTTAAAGTGCAGGCATTGTACTTCCCATTTCCAGGACTCAAGTCCAAAATTTCTTGACAGTGCCTCTGCCACTCTATCATTTGCTCTCCTTTTGCACTCTCTCACCACTCTTCACCTTTCTTTTACTCTCCATAAACTCTGCCCATCTTATATCACTTCTGTTTTGTAAAAACCTTTCATAAGTTACCTTTTTCTCTTTTATCACACCCTTTACCTCATCATTCCACCAATCACTCCTCTTTCCTCCTGCACCCACCCTCCTATAGCCACAAACTCTGCCCCACATTAGTTTTTATGTTTTTATAATTACAATTTATAGTAGATCTTGTGATATTGCCAATCTTTGTTCTTACACAATTATTAAGTATGGATATAATAATGAAACAGTCACAAACACATTGACAGGTGAACATGTTCACCTACCTCAGTCACATACTATTATCTAGAAATATATACAAATTTTTTATAGGTCCCAGCAGTGTTTTTAGAGGTGCTGAAGTATATGCAACTCCTTGAAGCACAGTGTCAGACTGAGTGGCACTAAATTACTGATAATGCAGTCACTCAACAATTCTACACCAGCACTGCCCCCAGTGAACCTTGGCATGTCTTATATTTCTTCTCACTGTTCCACACATGGACATGACTGTTTCTGTCTATCTCTGTCTTTCTGTCTGCCCATCTCTGTTTGCCTTTGTCTACCTGCCTGTCTCTGTCTGCCTGTCACTCTCTGTCTCCATGTCTCTGTCTCATATATTACACATGTTGCAGAATAATTTCTCTGTACTCAGGGCATAGGTGATAGGACATTCTGGAAGGAATGTATCAAAATTGAAAGGATGTGGCACAAATGTTGCACATGTGTTATTATCTAGTTATTTTATATTTCCTCAACCACTTTTGGCTACATCCATCTCAAAGCCACTTAACTTGGGGTCAACATCACTTTCCTCCTAAAAGGAGTGTTAATATGATATGGCATTAGTGAATCCCTAGGGTTTACCATGCTGTTTGCTCTAACTGGTACTCATTTGAACTGGTGCCCCAACAAGGTGCTAAATAGTTCCAAATTTTTTTAATACAGCACACACAAAGTGTTAAGACTCCATTCTGTACTGCCTAGGCCTATCAGACCTCGAATTCTAAATTTAAAGGCAGGAGAAATAAAACATTGATCTACGTTTGACGCACCAGCAGTAAGAACATAGATCTATGTTTTGACAGTTAAAGGGCTAAATAAATTCTTTAGCATGACATAAAAATATATACTGCATTAAATTGTAGATTCTGCATATTTCTAAAACATCTGTTTGTAATGTGTGTCACTATAACAAACTACTTATACTGTATTAGAATTATCTTCTATAAAATATTGTATACATATTGTAACTTACAGGCTTTTACTGCTGTTGTTGATATTGTCAACTGCATTGTGCTACTCTATCCCGGTGTAGTAGCAGAGTGTGTCCCTTCAGTTTTGGCATCCATTACACACCTTGCAACATCTCTGATCACTCAGGCCAATCAAGAATACAAACTAGACGATGACCAAATAAAAGTAAGGCCTTAATAGGTATTCTGATGTTGAAGAGATACTTGCCTGTAACATATTTAATAATCATATGCTTTTAACTACAGAGTTTTGTTGTGTGTCTTGGTGCATTTGCTTGTGTGTATCTTTATAGTGACTAGGATGCAATATTTGTAATAATAAAAATTCACAGGCATAAACAAAAGGGAAATTGATTTCAATATGGATGGAAGTTATAAGGTGTTTGTTGTGTAAATGTAAGGAAGAAAACAAAGTTCTGGCTAGGGACATCAGGACGGGCTGAAGAACGATTGCATTTTGTAGGCTGTATTAGGTATGCTTTAAGAGTATGGGAAATTTTATTGTATCTGGAGAATTTAATCAATGGATGATTAAAATATGGGTATAGAGATGGAATTGAATGTTTGAAAGACTTTATTGTATATTCTGCTACCCACAAAAGCTGTTCAGCAGCTCTTGTGGATAGACCTATGTATAACTAGTTTTGTGGATAGACCTATGTATGATCTCCATGGGGAAGTGGAACAGAATTCTTCCTCCGTAAGCCATGCGTGTCGTAAGAAGCGACTAAAATGCCGGGATCAATGGGCTAGTAACCTCTTCTCCTGTATACATTACTAGAGTTAAAAAGAGAAACTTTTGTTTTTCTTTTTGGGTCACCCTGCTTTGGTGGGATATGGCCAGTTTGTTGAAAGAAAAGAAAGACCTATGTATGACTAGTTTTGTGGATAGACTTTTTTTTTTTTGGGGGGGGGGGACCTTTCCACTACTATCCTGGCCTGAGGTTGATACCTGAACTATTCTATTGATGCCTACACATAAGAATTTCCTTTTCTCTTTCATTCACTAGATTTTGATAAATTTGAAGTTGTTGCTTTTGTCTGTGATTGGGTTCTTTGTGAAGTGGTCAGGATTTACGTAATCCCCTTACTTTGGTATCTTAAATTTCACTTACGAGGCAAGTCCTGTTATGCCGCATTTGAAGAGTTGTCACTCATGTAGTCCTTTTCATAGCTTGGTGAGTGAGCTGACTTAATTCTTTGATGAAAAGACAGTCAGGGATTTTGTGGGTGAAATAACGAACTAGGGAATGTATTAAAGTGTGATAAGATTGTTCTTCGTTGAGGTTCTGTAGAATCTATCAAATGTAGCTGAAGTTTAGGATGAATATTCAGTGAGCAAAACTGGAGTTAACCCTTTCAGTGTGGCAACCCCTGATTGCAGACTTGCCTTCCAAGGTTGAAGAATTTATATTAAAAAAAAAATTATGAAATGTTAATCTTTTTCCAGTGGTAATGAAACCAAGAGTACGAAATTTGTTGGAAAACTTATGGAATTGTGCTCTTACAAAGTTAGCGGGCTCAGTGATATTTACGCATTGGCAATTTCACCCACTTTATGTTCTGATTTTGGCCAATTCCATTGTTCCAGTCAACCAAACTCGTAGCTATTTTGCTAGTACATGTATTCCTTCTGTTTTATCAAATGAGTACAAGAAACTGCTGATTTACCTATTTCAACTACCAAATAAAGTGATCAGAAATTGGTAATTTGGCCAAATTCACACAAAATTCAACAATTGCCAATTTGAAAATAGGGTAGGGGACCTGAATGCTAAAGTAGGAGAAACTTTTAGAGAGGGTGTGGTAGGTAAGTTTGGGGTGCCAGGTGTAAATGATAATGGAGCCCTTTGATTGAACTTTGTATAGAAAGGGGTTTAGTTATAGGTAATACATATTTTAAGAAAAAGAGGATAAATAAGTATACAAGATATGATGTAGGGCAAAATGACAGTAGTTTGTTGGATTATGTATTGGTAGATAAAAGACTGTTGAGTAGACTTCAGGATGTACATGTTTATAGAGGGGCCACAGATATATCAGATCACTTCCTAGTTGTAGCTACACTGAGAGTAAAAGGTAGATGGGATACAAGGAGAATAGAAGCATCAGGGAAGAGAGAGGTGAAGGTTTATAAACTAAAAGAGGAGGCAGTTAGGGTAAGATATAAACAGCTATTGGAGGATAGATGGGCTAATGAGAGCATATGCAATGGGGTCGAAGAGGTATGGGGTAGGTTTAAAAATGTAGTGTTAGAGTGTTCAGCAGAAGTTTGTGGTTACAGGAAAGTGGGTGCGGGAGGGAAGAGGAGCGATTGGTGGAATGATGATGTAAAGAGAGTAGTAAGGGAGAAAAAGTTAGCATATGAGAAGTTTTTACAAAGTAGAAGTGATGCAAGGAGGGAAGAGTATATGGAGAAAAAGAGAGAGGTTAAGAGAGTGGTGAAGCAATGTAAAAAGAGAGCAAATGAGAGAGTGGGTGAGATGTTATCAACAAATTTTGTTGAAAATAAGAAAAAGTTTTGGAGTGAGATTAACAAGTTAAGAAAGCCTAGAGAACAAATGGATTTGTCAGTTAAAAATAGGAGAGAAGAGTTATTAAATGGAGAGTTAGAGGTATTGGGAAGATGGAGGGAATATTTTGAGGAATTGTTAAATGTTGATGAAGATAGGGAAGCTGTGATTTCGTGTATAGGACAAGGAGGAATAACATCTTGTAGGAGTGAGGAAGAGCCAGTTGTGAGTGTGGGGGAAGTTCGTGAGGCAGTAGGTAAAATGAAAGGGGGTAAGGCAGCCGGGATTGATGGGATAAAGATAGAAATGTTAAAAGCAGGTGGGGATATAGTTTTGGAGTGGTTGGTGCAATTATTTAATAAGTGTATGGAAGAGGGTAAGGTACCTAGGGATTGGCAGAGAGCATGCATAGTTCCTTTGTATAAAGGCAAAGGGGATAAAAGAGAGTGCAAAAATTATAGGGGATAAGTCTGCTGAGTATACCTGGTAAAGTGTATGGTAGAGTTATTATTGAAAGAATTAAGAGTAAGACGTAGAATAGGATAGCAGATGAACAAGGAGGCTTTAGGAAAGGTAGGGGGTGTGTGGACCAAGTGTTTACAGTGAAACATATAAGTGAACAGTATTTAGATAAGGTTAAAGAGGTCTTTGTGGCATTTATGGATTTGGAAAAGGCGTATGACAGGGTGGATAGGGAGGCAATGTGGCAGATGTTGCAAGTGTATGGTGTAGGAGGTAGGTTACTGAAAGTAGTGAAGAGTTTTTACGAGGATAGTGAGGCTCAAGTTAGAGTATGTAGGAAAGAGGGAAATTATTTCCCAGTAAAAGTAGGCCTTAGACAAGGATGTGTGATGTCACCGTGGTTGTTTAATATATTTATAGATGGGGTTGTAAGAGAAGTAAATGCGAGGGTCTTGACAAGAGGCGTGGAGTTAAAAGATAAAGAATCACACACAAAGTGGGAGTTGTCACAGCTGCTCTTTGCTGATGACACTGTGCTCTTGGGAGATTCTGAAGAGAAGTTGCAGAGATTGGTGGATGAATTTGGTAGGGTGTGCAAAAGAAGAAAATTAAAGGTGAATACAGGAAAGAGTAAGGTTATGAGGATAACAAAAAGATTAGGTGATGAAAGATTGAATATCAGATTGGAGGGAGAGAGTATGGAGGAGGTGAATGTATTCAGATATTTGGGAGTGGACGTGTCAGCGGATGGGTCTATGAAAGATGAGGTGAATCATAGAATTGATGAGGGAAAAAGAGTGAGTGGTGCACTTAGGAGTCTGTGGAGACAAAGAACTTTGTCCTTGGAGGCAAAGAGGGGAATGTATGAGAGTATAGTTTTACCAACGCTCTTATATGGGTGTGAAGCATGGGTGATGAATGTTGCAGCGAGGAGAAGGCTGGAGGCAGTGGAGATGTCATGTCTGAGGGCAATGTGTGGTGTGAATATAATGCAGAGAATTCGTAGTTTGGAAGTTAGGAGGAGGTGTGGGATTACCAAAACTGTTGTCCAGAGGGCTGAGGAAGGGTTGTTGAGGTGGTTCGGACATGTAGAGAGAATGGAGCAAAACAGAATGACTTCAAGAGTGTATCAGTCTGTAGTGGAAGGAAGGCGGGGTAGGGGTTGGCCTAGGAAAGGTTGGAGAGAGGGGGTAAAGGAGGTTTTGTGTGCGAGGGGCTTGGACTTCCAGCAGGTATGCGTGAGCGTGTTTGATAGGAGTGAATGGAGACAAATGGTTTTTAATACTTGACGTGCTGTTGGAGTGTGAGCAAAGTAACATTTATGAAGGGGTTCAGGAAAACCAGCAGGCCGGACTTGAGTCCTGGAGATGGGAAGTACAGTGCCTGCACTCTGAAGGAGGGGTGTTAATGTTGCAGTTTAAAAACTGTAGTGTAAAGCACCCTTCTGGCAAGACAGTGATGGAGTGAATGATGGTGAAAGTTTTTCTTTTTCGGGCCACCCTGTCTTGGTGGGAATCGGCCAGTGTGATAATAAAAATAAAAATATTCCTGGCACTAAATAAACATTTCCTCTGTTCCTTAGTCATGTCTCTAGGCCCCTCTTATAGTACACATGCTTTTCATTTTGAATTTTTATTCGCACAAAAAATTGAAAATTTACTGTTATGCAGATTAGTGCATTATTGTAATTGTATAAATAATGTCAGTGCATTCCTGAAAGAATATTAGACTGGACAGATGGACATGTATTCTGAGCACCTCTGCAAAAACAGTGATAATGTGTGAGTGTGGTGAAAGTGTTGAATGATGATGAAAGTATTTTCTTTTTGGGGATTTTCTTTCTTTTTTGGGTCACCCTGCCTTGGTGGGAGACGGCCGACTTGTTGAAAAAAAAAAAAAAAAGATGGACATGTATTGGATAAGTGATGTCATTTGCGTACTCTGGAATATTGGCAAAATTTGAACATTTCTGCTCAATTTGAGCTCAGTTTTAAGCTTTTTTCAGTCCTGAAACCTGTCTCTACTTCTGTAATATATTTTCTATTCTATTAAATGAGATCAAGAAACCGAGAATACAACCATAAAAACCATGCAAAAATACACTGCAAAGTTGCTGTTTTAACCCATAACCCTTTGACTGTTTTTGTCATATATGTACATCTTACGAGCCACCGTTTATGACGTAATTATACTCATAAATTCTAGTGGCTTCAAATCAAGCAGGAGAAAGCTGGTAGGCCCACATGTGAGAGAATGGGTCTGTGTGGTCAGTGTGCACCATATAAAAAAAAAATCCTGCAGCACACAGTGCATAATGAGAAAAAAAAAACTGACCGTTTTGTTTTATTAATATGCCGAATTTGTGGTCTATTTTTGTATAGTATTTATGGTTGTATTCTCATTTGATAGAATGGAAAACGTATTATAGAAATAGAGGTGATTTTGATTGGTTTTACTATGAAAAGAACCTTGAAATGGAGCTCAAAGTAGGGAAATGTTTGATTTTTGCCGATGTTCAAAAGTAAAAAAATGATGTCATTTTCCAATAAATGTCCAAGTAGCCATTCTAATATGCAGTCATGAATGGGTTGACATTATTTATACAATTATTACAATACATATTGCAGTAGTCTGCATAACAGTAAATCTTCTATTTTTTGTTTGAATAAAAATTCAAAATAGAAAGCAAGAGTAATATCAGAGGGGCCTGGAGATGACTGATGAACAAAAAAAAATGTTATTTTAGAGTCAGGAATGTCTGCATTGTTCATTCTGGACCCTATTTTGAAATTGTCATATTTTTTAATTTTTGTGAAATTGGCCAAATTGCAAATTTCTGACCATGTTATTGGGTAGTTGAAATCAGTAAATGGGCAGTTTCTTGTACTCAGTTGATAGAAAAAATGGAGTTCTAAAGAAATAGCTATGAGTTTGGTCGACTGGAATAGTGGAATTAGCTGAAAATAGGGCTCAAAGTGGGCAAAATTGCCGATTCGTAAATATCACTGAAGTCGCTAACTTTGCGAAGGCGTAATTCCATCAATTTTCCATCAAATTTCATTCTTTTGGTGTCATTACAATCGGGAAAAGATTCTCTTATCATTTCATAAGAAAAAATTATTTTTTTTTTGTTTCGGAAATTTTGCGACTCCAGGAGACATCTTAGGATTTGGGGTTGCGACAATCTGAACTTAGATATGCGTTTGCCTGCATAGTGCTCCGAATATTTTGAAAAATAAAAAAAACGTTTTTTGTTTTTAAATTGAAAAGTGCATTTTTTATAAATGGTATAGGATAAAAAATAAATTTAGGGTCAGTACTTACCGAGATATAAGCCCACGATGTTGGTGCTAAATGATGAGGTGTCGGCAACATGGAGCACTGCCGCTTGCAGAAATAATAAACATTTATCATTTTTTTCCAATTCTTTTCTATTTTTTGTTGTTTTCATGTTATGATAATAATCTTTTGTTGCAGATCTTTTGATTTCATAGCCAATTCTTTTTGAGACACAAATGTTTGGTACTGAATTAGTAATCATACAGTCACAAACACACATGTTCACACTGATTAATGAATTTGTACACCTGGTTCTATCACATACTATTGTTTACATATATATATATATATACAAGATATTTACAAGTCCCATTTATGTTTCTAGAAGTCCACCACTGTATGGTACTCCACATTGCTGACACATGTATCGTGTGTCTTTTCACACTCGGGGTCGCTGTTTAGTGTAAGCACACAACACACTTTTTCTGAGAGTACTTCTTCTTTGGAGTAGATGGTAATGGTACTAGGCAGTGACAGTTAGGGATTATTCGGTTGGGCACTTCCCCCTCTTTTTGTGAAGTGACAGGTATAGGTGTGGTGCCATACTTTTTCGCTATCTGCTTGATGATATTGAGGGTGAATTCTGCATATCGTTGTCGCTTCCCAGTCTTTATTTCATGCATGTTGAAGGCATTGAGCATTGCAATGTCTACAAGGTGGAAAAAAACTTTTATATACCACTTGTGACTCCTACGCACACAGTCAACAAACCCTATCATCATGTCACACTTGTCGACTAGTCGCATATTGTAAATATAGTTGATGACAGCATCTGGCTTTACAATGGGTTCATTGTTGAACCTGCTCAGTCTGTCTGTCTGTATCATCTCATTTCTGTGGATGGTTGACAGCAACATCGCGTCCCGTTTGTCATGCCACGTCAGTGCCATGATGTCATTGGCATGAAACGCTTCTACTAGACTTCTTCCAGTGAACCTTGGCATGTGTTTTCTACTTCTCACTGTTCCACATATATCAGTATTGTTCACACGTAGGAAATCTGCGAGCATAGGGCTTGTATACCAGTTGTCTGTGAACAGTGTATGACCTTTGCCAAGGTATGGCCCCATCATCTTACGAACAACATCCCCAGAAATGCCTAACATGTGCCTGGTATCGCCGAGTGTATTTTTCCCTGTGTAGATAATGACATCCAACACAAGACCAGTCTCACAATCACACATAACAAAGAGTTTTATACCAAAGCGATTATTATTTGCTTGGTACATATTGTTTGAATGACAGTCGTCCCTTGAACAGAACTAAGGACTTGTCGACAACAATGTTCTTGAATGGATAAAAGTAGGCACTAAATTTTTGCTTCAGATACATAAACAATTCGCAGATTTTGTATAAGAGGTCATTTCTGTTTGGCGTATTCCTGTCTGAGAAGTGCAACATTCATAGCAGCAGAGTGAATCTGTTGCAGGGAAGGAGGTCACAGAAGACTGGAGTACTGGTGAAGTGGTCTGTGGACCAGTAGTGTGCTATATTGTTCTTATAGGTGTGTGGCATAAGCATGACAGTGCCAAGGAATAGATACATTTCAGCCACAGTTGTATCTTTCCACCTGCACAGCCATGAAGACTGTGAAACATCTGTTTGGTCCATTGTATACTGGTAGTACATGTTGGTCTGGGTAACAGTTAGGTTCATTATCAGCTCATCAAAGTATAGTTGAAAATAGTCTAACTCTGTAGACTCACTTGTGATGGGACAGTGTGGCATGATGCCACACTGGCATCAAAACTGAAAGGATGTGGCACAAATGGTGTGCTTTCTGTCCAGTTCCATTTGCGGTCACATGGTGCAGGGTGGACCTGTGGCATGGGGCATGGGGGAGCAGGAGGGAGAACAGGAGTGGAGGCAGCACATGGTTGAGAGGGTGCCGGGCGGTCCTTTGTCTGCCCACCCACTGTGCCACGAGGTCCAGGCACCATGCCACCCCCCTCTTCCTCCATCCCAGCATATTCACTTTCATCATCATCACTATCACTATCACTATCAGTGGCTGGGGTTTCAGATCGTGACCTGCCACGACCCTTGCCATCGACTACATATGACACACTGCCTGAATGTAGGTTACGACGCCTAAAAGTACGTTTCACTAGGGAAAAATGATAATCACTTTCACTCAACGAACCGTCTATCGGCATAAAATCGATTTCATCATCATCACTTATATCACTTTCACTATCATCATCACGATAACGCATGGAAAATGATAATTTCCTCTTGCGGAGTTGCCTTTGGGAAGTAACACTAGCAACCCAACCTCAAAGGGTTAAAATTGCTGACAGTGTCACAATTAAAAAATAATTGTCTTCTTAAATGGCAGAGAATCTTTTTCTGAAGGTAATAACACCAAAAATGTGAAAGCTGATGGGAAACTTACAGAATTATGCAAGCACATAGTAGGCAGTCTGGGCACAATTTATGCATTGGTGATTTTGCTGACTTTGAGTCCGATTTTAGCCAATTCTAATGATCAGTTCAATCCAATATCTATTTTGCTAGTATTCCTTTTTAACAACTGAACCAAGAAAGTGCTCATTTAACTATCAGACTTAACTATAATGTGACCAGAACTTGGAGATTTTGCCACTTGTACACAAAATTAAAAAAGAAAATTAATTTAAAAACAAAGTTCAAAATAATCAGTGTAGACATTCAAGGCACTAAAGCAACATTTCCCCAGCTCATTAATCACATCAATCACATCTTCAGGCCTTTCCTACATTGTACTTCCCCTTCATTTTGAATCCATCATCATACAAAAAAATCAAACTTTTACCTTACTTCAAGGATAAAATATATCCAAGAAGATTGGTCATGGTTTAAGCTTTCCTAGTAATTGAAGCAATTCTGGTAAAAAGTTATTTGACAGGAAAATCATCAAAAAATTATTCTCACCAATTTGAGCCCTATTTCAAGCTACTCCTATTTTGAAACCCACTAAAATCATCTCTACTTCAGTAGTATGTTTTTCATTCTATCAATTGATATCAAAAACAGTCTCTCCCACTCCCCAGGTGCTGTGTATAACCTCTAAAAGTTTAGTGCTTCTTATAAATATACACATAATGTGTTACAGATTATGGCAGACTGTGGCAGTAACCTGGAACGAATTGTGAGTCAACTGAATTCGTTCAGAGTTAGGCTAAATAAGGTGGCACACTTCACTGTGGCTGCTATTATTTCATCTCTCCAGCTTACAACAGTTTATCCAGCTGTCAAGGTAGGTTACCTGTTTACTTTGTAGTTTGGTTACCTATTACCTTTTAATTGTATATCGTAGATTCTTGGGTCATCCTGCCTTGGTGGGAGATGACTAATTTTTTTTTCTTTTTTAAAGTTTTGTTGGTTATATGTACTCTAGCAAATATACACAAATACTGAACTTAAACATTAACTAGATGTATTTTGGCTGCTATGCGAGCTAAGAAACTTATCCCTGTATATAACAATCCCAGTCTCCTGTGCTTCAGTGCATGTGATTGGAATACTGCAGACCATACCACGGACTGGGATAGAACCCGCGATCAGAGAGTCATGACTCTGATCGCGGGTTCTATCCCCGCCTGTGGTATGGTTTGTTTGCAATCGTGTCATTATGATTTTATGAGTCAATAGTGCAGCACGTGTTGATAATGAAGTTAAGCATTAGAATTGAAGATTTGAAAGGGAATCTGAAGAGGCACTCACAAACCATCATATTGGTAAATTTGAACACACACAGATCAGATCTAATTCAAATCTTTCAGAGGAACCAAAGAGATCAATAAAGGTACCATCCGACTCACGACCAAGCTTGGTTCCGACCAACCGGTCATAAGTCAAAATGGACATAAGTCGAACCTTACTACTGAATATCAACATCATATTATTGTAATGATTTTATTTTATTGTTTTATTTTGGTATTTCATTTTTTACTTTACTTTTTATGCTGTTAGTACTGTATTTTATACTGTAAGGTTTAGGAGAAGCACTGTATACAACACACACAGTTGTTTATTTCCCAGAACATTTGCATACAAAACATGGTCGTAAGTCGAGTGGTCGTATGTCGAGTAGGTCGTAAGTCGGATGGTAGGTGTATTCTAAAGTACACAGGCACATTATTTAGTTTAACTGGTAAAAAACAAATAATCTGAAGATGCTACAAA